AAAAAAAGATTTATTTATTTGATTTGAATAGATATTCGTCTAAACGATTGGAGGAAATCGACGGACTTCTGATTGTTGTTAGCATTTGATTCCCAAACACATCCGATGATCACTGGATTCATAGTTCTTGAGAAGCATCGGTTGCGTTCAGCCATTAATACTTGTTCTTTCAGAAGTGGCAGACATTTGGTATCCTTTGGATCTATTTTATCATCACTCATGTCAGTCATGTCGACGTCTTGATTGAGCGATGAGTTCAGTTGATCCTCGTTCTGCTCGTTCTCGTCTTCGGACAGATATCCGTGCGGAACGAAGATCTCATTGTCGATCTCATAGTCATCCTTAACAGAGCCGTCAGAGTCGGAGCCGTCGAGTGACTCTCCGGGTCCGCCCTCTTCCCACTCCTCATCGCTGTCCACTTCGTAGTCAAACACATCGGTGTCTCTATTGAAGGGTTGGGTGGCTTTGATAGTATGGCTCCGTTTGCGGAACGTTCCCCTATAGGGCGGCCGAACATTGGTGTGGAACTGGAGGTGCTTTATGCGGTACCTCTTCGGTTGATTCTCGTTGTCATCGCCTTCAGGTGTGCTCTCAATGATGATCTCCGGCTCACTCTTTTGGCGGCCATTGCATCGAAATATATGGTAATCAATGCTTTTGATTGAATCCAAATATAACTGATCCGAGTCTTGGGTCTGAGACAGAGTGTCCAACACTTCTCTATTAAATCGGTTTTTGGCAAACTCTGGAACCGCCGGCGCTATGGTTTGATTGGCACCCAATTGGAAGGGAAGAAACAAAGAGTTGGTAATCGTCTCATCGCTCGTCAATACACTCTTGCGATTCGACGACTGATTCGCTGAGTTCTTGAAGAAGTTGGACAACAGTTGTCTTTGTCGCTCCTCTTTCTTCAACTGTTCCTCAGAAGCCTTTTGTTTCTCAGACAGTCTTCGGCTCTTCTCCTCTTCTAATTTGCGCTTCTTTTCCGATATTTCTCTATAAATAAAACCAAAAGTTAATTCAATTTGAATGCAAAGATAACATGCGATGAGAGGTAAGTGTCGTCCGAATCCATACTCCAGTTTCTTCTGTTTCTCCAAATCCTTCTCCTTTTGCTTCTCTTCCCTCTCGCGAAGTCTGTCCTCCTTTTCCTTCTGCTTCTCATCTTTCATACGCTGCCTCTCCATCTCCTTCTCGACCCTCTCTTTCTCTCTCTTCTCTTTCTCCGCGTCTTTCAGTTTCTGTCTCTCGAGTCGTTGTCTTTCCAACAAATCCTTCTTCTCCTGTATTTCCCTCGTCTTCCTCTCCTTCTCGGCCTCTCTCTCAGCGATCACACGATTCCTCTCCTCGAGAGCCCTCTTCTTCTCCTGTGGCGTCAGTTTTCGCTTCTTTTTGGCGCTCTTTTCGGCACTTTTTGTCAAAGACTTGTTGTTGTCTTCGCTGTGACTCAGATTGGGTTCACTCGATGTCAACGACCTATTCATAATGTCTTCGCTAGGGATCGGATCACGAGATGTCTTGTCTTCACTCGACGCCAAAGACTTATTGTCTTGACTTTGGCTGTCATTGGGTTCACTGGATGTCATGTCTTGGCTCTGAATGGGAAGCAAATCAAGCATTTGTTGAGAGGATGTCACGTCTGGTTGTGTTGGCGTCGGCTCTGACTCTGTATTGTCTGACATTTCGCTTGATTTCAATCGACACTTAATTTCATAATCAATTTAATCGCCAATTATTGTCGCA